AATTAATTTTTTAACCTGCCACTTTCTTGAAAGTGTTGATCATCTAGGAGTGTTCTGGTAGAATTTTTGGATCTCTTAGGTATAGTATCATATCTGCAAAAGGGGATGATTTGACCTCTTCTTTTCCATTTAGTACTCCTTTAATTTCCTTCTCTTATTGTTCTTGCAAGAGTTTCAAGCATTTTATTGAAAGGGTGGAGATAGTGGACAGCCTTGTCTGGCTCCTGATTTTAGTGGGAATGCTTCCAGTTTTCTCCGTTTAGAATGATGTTGGCTGTGAATTTGTTGTATATAGCTTTAATTATTTTAACGGTATGTTCCCTCCAGTCCAATTCCCTTTAGGACTTTTATTAGGAATGCATGCTGAATTTTGCCAAAGGCCTTTTCTGTGTCTATTGAGATGACCGTGTGAATTTTTGTCTTTGAGTTCATTTATATGATTTTTTGACATTTATTGATTTATGTATATTGAACTACCCTACACTGAGAGACTTTTTAAAATGGTGGTAATAGGGGTTGAACCCAGGACCTTATCCATGCTGGCTGAGCAGTCAGCCACTGAGCTTATATTCCCTAAATAGAAATTTGGGGTGGGGGGCTGGAGAGATGGCTCAGCAGTTAAGAATACTGGCTGCTCTTGCAGAGGACCTAGGTTCGATTACCACTACCCACATGGTGGCTAACAATGGTCCGTAACTCCAGTTCTAGGGGAACTGATGCCACTTCTGACCTCTACGGGAATTGCATGACACAGGTGCACTTAACATACATGCAGATAATACACATAAAACAAAAATAATAAATAAAATATTAAAAAAAGAAATTTAGAGCATTAAGACTATTTTTAGGAGTTACTGCCCCCCCCCACCACTGGGGAAACCCAGGGACCTCATGTATGTTAGGCAAACGCCCTACCACTGAGCTATATCCTCAGCTGCCCCCCACCTTTAAATTTTTTTAAATTGAATTTTTGAGAATTTCATACAACACATCTTGAATCATATTTAGATCCTCTCCCTTATCTGTACCCTCAACCCCCCCCCCCCAGACTTCATGCATTCTGTCATATATGTTAAGGCCTATTGAGCCAGGTTTGTATTCCCCAAATGTCCCTTGGTGTGTCCATCCACTGGAACGTGGTCAGCCTATCGAGCTTCACTCCCTTAAAGAAGACCAACTCCCTCTCCAGTAGTCATTGGTTGCCAACAGTTCCTCAGCTCAGGTTGGAGTTCTTCCCCACTTCTTGCTGGGTTTTTGCCTGGTTTGAGCTTATGTGCTCAGCCCCCTTTTAGCTCTGTTATCAGAACACTTTTCTGCCCATTCTCTTCCTTGTTGGTTCTGAGATTATCAGTTAGGCTTTGTCATTTGCATTTCATCTTTACCTCCTTAGCCTAGAGCTTCGATGGCTCATTGTATGGTATAAGGTTGTTTTTGACAAGAGTAGTGTCTATTGCTGTTACAACGCCATACATGATATCTTATTGCCTGAAAAATTCCCATTAGCCCTTTGTAGATAATCCTTTTCCTTACTGTCCATCCCCTAGTAACCATAATGTTTTTCTTCTTATAGTTTTGCCTATATTAGTGTTATATAAATGGAGCTTGTACAAATATGGAGACTTTGGGGCCTGGCTTCTTTGATTTAGCACTGTTTTTTTCTTTTTGTGGTGTTGATAATGCAACCCAGAGCCTCTCATGCCAGGCAAGTTTTCCAGTACTGACCTACACCCCTGCTTTAGCAAAATATATTTAAGCTTATGCTATACTGGAGCTCAACATGGTGGTGCACACCTGTAATCCTGCACTTGGGAGATGGAAGCCAGAGGATCAGGAGTTTAAGGTCATTATTCTCAGCTACATAGCAGGTTTGAGGCCAACCTGGGCTACATTAGACTGCCTTAAAATTTTTTTTTTAATGTCCTTTAAACAGGGCTGGAGAGATGGATCAGCAGTTAAGAGCACTGGCTGCTCTTGCAGAGGACCTGGGTACTGTTTCCAACATCCACAAGGTGGCTAACAACCATCTGTAACTCTAGTTCCAGGCGATCTGATTCTGTGGGACTTAGCATAAATTTAAGTAGAGCTAAAAGTGAATAAAAATGATAGAAGTGGTATATAGATAAGAAAAAGCTTTGAACCTGAATGACTAAGGGTAGATGTTAGGAATGTGATAGAAAGGCTTTTCTTTACCTGCCACCTCTGCTTGGAATTTGTCACGTATTAACTTTAGTACCTCACTGTTGTAAAGCACCTGTCACTCTTGGACACAATACAGTAGCACCAGCTTGTTAAAAGGGCCTTAAGACCCATGGGAAGGTTTGAGCCTGTCCATTGGAGTGAGGCCAACCTTCATTGAAAAGTCATTGTCATTTTTTTCATTGGGTTTGTCAAGCTCTAGGTAGTTGAGCCCGAACTAGAACAGTACTATGTCTGAGTAGTACTGCTGACACCATAAATCCCAGCACATTTTCTGGAAGCCTCTTTTGAGACTATAGTATTTTGATCAAAACACCTTATATGTATGTATGAAATTTTCAGTAAAGTTTTTTTTTTTTTTAAAGTTAAAAAAAAATTCAGCCCCTCTAGTTCATTACAAAGATTTTCCTGGGGACATCTGTGAGGATTCACTGTGGGAAGTCACAGTTTCTAGGAACTTCTTCCGGTTCACTGATAGATCATTTTGTCGCATAATTGACAGTATGTATTTGAGAGACAAGGGCCTCTTTGAGAATATTGCACTGATGACAGAAGCTTATAGCAAATTGGGAAGGCAACCAGTGATACGTGCTGTTTTTAAGGAAAATAGATCCATGGTAATTTCTTTTAAATTAATGCTTAATTCTTGCTGTGTAGTTAAGACTGGTCTTGAACTCACAGAGATCTGTTGGCCTCTGCTTCCTGACCTTTTTGAAAAAATTAAAATGGGAGGAGAGGTAATGGAAGGCCACATTTGAGTAGAAAATGGCTATGATGTGTATTTACATGTGGCACATAATGTTTATTTTACCTTTTACTTGTAGTAATGAATGTTATAACAATTGAAGATTATAAGAGCACATACTGGCCAAAATTGGACGGTGCCATAGATCAGCTTTTAACCCAGAGTCCTGGTGACTATATCCCTATATCCTATGAACAGATTTACAGGTAAGTTGACATTTAATTTGTCTGGGATTGAAAGGGTATATTGGGGTTGAGGGTAATTTGATGATGACAGTGTGCATGGAATGTATAAAGTATGCAGATGAGGCTGCACATAGATACTGTCCACACTTGGGTTTTGGAGATTTGATTCTGAAACGTTTTTTAAGTCAAGATAGAGCCAACTGCAGTCTACTGGTCTACCTCTGCTTGCTTGCCTCTGTCATAGACAGTGAGAAAAGCCAGTGGAGGATCTGGTATAAAATAAGTTGTTTCGCCGGGTGTGGTGGTGCACACCTTTAATCCCAGCACTTGGGAGGCAGAGGCAGGCGGATCTCTGTGAGTTCAATGCCAGCCTAGTCTACATAGTGAGTTCAGGGACAGCTGGGGCTATAGGGAGACTCTATCTCAAAAAATAAAAAAAAAAAAAAAAAATGTTTCTAGTCTCTCACAGGGAGATCCTAGGTAACCCTTGATGTTTATTGACGCAAGGTTCTAACTCTCTTTGATATTTTGTTTCCCAGTTCCTGGTAAATGGAAGTAACAAATTAGGAACCGGGTTGGGAAATACTGTGTCAGCACAGTGGCAAGAAGAAGTGCTGATGGCTCAGTCCCTCAGCTGATGCACAGAGGTTGTATTTGCAAACATCTCTGAATTAGAAAGTTCCTGCTGATTAGCATGCTCTCTTCCTGATTTTGACATTATTTTAAAAACAAAAAGAGTGAGAGAAGCTGGCTTGGAAGGAGCTACCATATTCAGACCTTAGACCCTCACCCAGTCCTAGACTATCTGGTGCTGATTAAATGTGTACTATTCAGGTTATTGGCAGTGTCTTTCCATAGAACACCGATTGAGGAGGGTCCATTCTTATTACATGTTCTGGTTGATCCCTTGTATCAGGTGAGTTGTTTGTATATTGAAAGTGTGCTTTAACATCAGATTGAGTTAAATGCTTCTGTGTCTTGCAGTTGTGTGTATAAGTGTGTTTGCCAGCAGCACTCGGAACAGATGTACAGTGATCTGATTAAAAAGATAACCAATCACTTAGAGAGAGTCTCAAAGGAGCTTCAGGTAAAGAACCGACTGTATTGTTAACTTGCTGTTTTGCCTTTTTAATGGGTGGTTGGAACTAGGCTGTCTAATGAACATTGGGAATCTTGTTACTTTGATTATGATACAACATTATAAAATAATTTCTAGTTGAATATGGACCAAAATTATCTAAAGAGATTGTTTAAAAACTTGGCATAAATCATGGAAATTTTTATATTGACTATATCTCAGACCGTAGCTGATTCCACTTACCACTATATCAGCATTTCTTTGGCCCAAAACCTTCTTTTTCTCAGTTAACTTTATTTGGTGGATTTTATTAAGAACATAGATCTGGGGCTAGAGAGATGGCTCAGTGGTTAAGAGCACTGACCTCTCTTGCAGAAGACCTGGATTCGATCCCAGTACCCACATGGTGACTAATAACTATCTGTAATTCCAGTTCCAGGAGATCTGACACCTTCTGACGTCTGTGGGCATTGTACAACACGGGTATACTTCTTACATGTGGGCAGTGCACTCATACACGCAAAATAATAAAATAGTTTAAAAATATGGATCCAGTATATTTTAATTCCTTCCTTTGAACTTTGTTATCTTTGAGAGTGGTTTGCCTACAAATTTCTAACACTTGGAACACTGTTGGTAAATCTCTGCAGTGGATGGGCTCTTAAGATCTGGATGGGTGACAGAAAATCCTCTAGGAGTGTTAACTTCCTAATTCAGTCCTCCCCCGAGACCCTCCCCAGTATAGCTCCCAGGGCCTCAAGGTCAGGCATGAGCTTTTTTTTCCCCCAGGGCAAACTATCCAGCTTTATTAAAGATACTTTTCATAAGCAGTCACAGTATTTCAGGCAGGACATGGGCAGACAATCATTAACAGTATACAAGAACTTTCCAAACTCCCTTCTTATATGGACTATCAAAATCAGAAAGCCACTATAAAATCCAGTGAAACTTCATTTGGTGCTCTCAATGGGGAAGGTTTAGAGTGAGGGCTGACATTTCACATTAAGTATGTTGTTTCACAACTTTTCATAAGACAATCCTGATTTTCAGGAAATGAACATGGCAGAATTATCAATCGGAAGATCCACAATATTTTAGAAAAGGAAGCACTGCTTTTCTGAGGAGCCATCTCAGTGATGTCACTGCAAAATCCAGATTGTCCAACATACTGGCAAAACCAATTTAGGGGGTCAAGTCCCTACAGGTCTCTGGTTTTAAGGGAGTTAAGTCTGTTGATTTGAAGGTGGAGGGAGAGGAAAGTATAAAAATTTTGAATCTTCCCATACCACAAGGCATTGTGAATTCCAGGGCCAGAACCAACATAGAAATAACAGGTGGGAAGGGTCAGTAGGTCATCAGGGTTTGCACCACAGTGAGGAAGTGCTCCAGCAGTGCTCTGTGCTTGGATGCTGCTGCTCCTCACTTGCTTGTGGTATATAAACTATCTTGGTCTTGTTCACTTCAACAGTTGAACAACAGTTGTTGCACTAGTAGTTAATTTTTTTTTTTTTTACATTTGTGTGTTTTTTGGGGATTGGTGCACAAGTAGAAGTTGGGGTATAGCTTGTAGAAGTTGGTTTTCTCCTTCTGTCCAGGGATTGAATTCAGATAATCAATCAGGCTTGGTGGTAGCATCTTAACCCGAGGAGCTGCCTTATCGTGGATCTGCCTTATCGGCTCAAAGTTTGTTTTTTTCTTTTCCAATTGTAGACTTAGACAACTTCTCCTGTTGTTAGTGTAAAGTTGTTTCCTTCATCTTTTTGCAGTTGAATAAATGCTATTCATTAGCAGATATTTATTGCCTAGGCATTGCAGGTGAAACCCAGGAGCTGTGTGTTGTGGCTTTGAATGACTCACTTCCTTGTTCTCCCTTCTCCGTGAATGCTCATGTAGTGCAGCTCTTTGCCAAGTGCTACTTTCTCCTTTTCTCTAGTCTCTGGTCCATTCTGTGTACTCGCCAGTCCTGGTTCCTGCCACTGTCCTTGCTCAGGTGATTTGCTGGTTGCTCTGCCTTACTTTATTGATGTAACTTAATTTATTTAATCAGCTTTTCACTGATAGATTTTTAGGTAGCTTTTAAACTAATAATGCTTCCATGAGCAGTCAGTCTGGTAAGTCTGTCATATACTACGTCTGGACGTTTTGCCATTCACAGAGGTACCAGATTCTACTCCTAAGTTTCAGTCACGTATGTGTCAGTCTGTATTCCCTCACCCTGCTGCTACAGCATTTTATAAAACAAGATAGTCATTACATGTCCCACTGAGTTTAGCAGTGTAGAACAATTGAAAAAAACTTGCTCAATTTCTTTTCTTAAGGTGCTGGGAATTGATCCCAGGGTCTTACCATGCTAAGCAAGTGCTCCACCACTGAGCTGTACTAACTCTTGGCTCTTGCTGAGTTATAGCTGTGGCAGGCTGAGACTGGCCTTGATCTGGTGAGCCTTATGCCTTAAGTCTCCCAAGTGCTGGGAATCCAGGAGTTAACTATCATGCCATCCTCTAAATGATTTCTTCTGAAAGACTATAAATAAACTCTATAACCATTATTAAATAGCAGGGTAGAGTGGCTAGAAACACAGGAACTTCATGCCCTGTGTGTAGTTGTGTCCCCCTTGATTAAACATGCTGAGTTCTGGTAAACTTTCTCAACATTAACATGAAGTGACTTTACTGACATATCTGTGGTCCCTTTACACTAAGTTGTAAGGTATTTTTTTCTTCTTCCAGCCTGGCAAAACCTCCTTCCTTCTTTTCTTAGTTTTACACTCACTTTTGTCTGCCCGTGGACAACCTTCCTGGAATTGTTGCCCTCCTTATAAAACAATGCAGAACAGAACAGACTGTTGGCATTTCCTTGTGTATGGACCCATAGCCTCTTGGCAGTAGAGCTCTTTTAGGGCAGTGGTTGTGTTCCAGTCTTTGTGTTTCTGACTATTCTTCTGGCCCTTCTGTGAGGCAAGGACTCTGTCTTGTCTGTCTTTCCATCCTTAGTGTCTGGCACAGCTGTAACTCAGCAAATGTTGTGTGAATGCTCAGCGGCTAAGTCTGACTAGAACCGATGGAAAGAGTAGCCAGTAATTCTTATGATAACAGATCTTTGTGTTCTGTGGGTGCTTAAGATAGTTTTCGTGGGGGACCAGAAGAATATACCAGGCCTCACAGGCAGGGACTTTGTATTTGGGTAGAGCATTTTGTTTGCAGACTGGTTTTTGCAGTGAAGTTTTTGAGCCAAAACAATAATTTGGGGATGAGTTGCACTTGACAGATTACTAGAGCTTGAGCATTGGAGTTGATAGATCAATGAGTTGGACCCACAGTTTATCAGCCTCTGTCAAGGATGTCTTAAAATCGCTGCTGGTTTGACTTGTTTATCCATATTTGAAGGCTCAGTCTGCTGGAGACACTGAAAAGCACTGTGTAAAATAGCATTCTTTAGTCCCCTGATATTTTTGGTGTCGACTTATAAGCAAGAGAATATTGCTTTCAGGGATTTTAATATATTAGTTGGTCAAACCTAATTTTTATATAATATAATGTAACTTTGTGCCTTAAAAACAAACTGCTGAACAAGGTACCCCTTCAGTAACTTTTAAATAGTTTCTTTTGTTGTTGAATTGGTAAAACCACTTAACCAATAGTTAAACCATAGTATTCTTCTTACTAATTGTGTTTGGATGGGTGGATGGGTGGAGATGGATGGGTGGAGATGGATGGGTGGAGATGGGTGGGTGGATGGGTGGATGGCTGAGTGGATGGATGGATGTATAGGTCTTTTGAAATTGCCTTCATTTTCTTAAATCTTAAATCTTCCCTCTATAACTTCTTTCTCCTTTAAATGTCTTAATGAAATTCTGGTTATTTTCCTTTTTTCATCTGCAAAGTCTCAGAATTTTTAGTTTTTTTTGACATAAAAATGAATGGAAATAGTTTTACATAGAAAATAGGTTTGCCAATTTATTTAGTAAGTAATCTGCTTAATTTTGCAAAGTTGTATTTGAACTTTTAGAAATCACCATACTTTAGGTAAGGACTTGGACCAGGACATCCAGGGTGCTTGCTGAGCTTGAGTTACTTCTGATAGTCACCATATCTGAATTGTCTCCACCCACATCGCCATTTACCTCAGGCTTGATGTTTCCCATCCATCTTCCACTCCTCTCTCTTGTCTTTTGGGAGCTGGTCAGCTGGTAGACTACCGGACTGTCCCTTGCTGCTGCCCCTTTCTTGTCCTTATTGTCTGGTACCCACACTAGCACTGTATTCTCTTGTTTGTCTCTGTTTTCTTCTATCGGCTGAATAATCTCTTAAAACCCCTAGTTTTATGGGCATATGCATTCTTGTTCAGACACCTGAAGACATCCTGCTGCTTGCCTCAGTGCATCGAAGTTGATTTTTTTGGTCATTATTAAAAAAAACAAACAAACAAACTGAGCTAGTTTATTGATTGCAGGGATTCCTGGTGGGAAACTTGATGTAGTTAGCAGTTTCCTGCCCAGTATGCCAGGTTTTCTACTAGATACAGTAGTGGGTATGTAATTGATAGGAGTAGGTGATGAGGTTCATCCCTTCTAAGAACAATTTATATACACACACCCCAGAAAGTAACAGAAAGGTAAGGAATTATAGGGTCAAGGTCTGGGAGAAGGAAACTTGAGAGGGGAGCCTAACATTTGAACCATCTCCCTGTAGGGTTACTTGTTTATTCTATAGGAGGAAGAGTTTAGGCTGTGAAATTGAGGCAGGTGCTCTGCCATTGAGCTGCATGTGGAGCCCTGGGCTGTGAAATACAGTAGAGCTTTGAGACACTTGTGGGGGTGTGGTGATAAATTGAGCATCAAAGGCATCAAACGGAAGGAGCACACCCCAGCTAAGCTAAGAGTAACAAGCTGTAGCCTTACCCTCTTGCTTACTGAAGCCATCTTTCTGGTCAGATGATAGTGATCTTGATCTGCTGGCGCCTTCATTCAGTAGAAGCAAAAGGAAATTCTCTCTGGAGTTAGCATTGTC